TCAAGGGATTTATTTTTCTCTTAATTTTCTCAGGACCAGATTTTGACGTTAGCTGACATTGTTAATCTTCTTTCTTGTATGTACCACAAAGTAAGTAAGCCACAAATATTTGTGAATGGAAGAATTTTGCATAAAGACAGAGCTAAATCCTGTTGGGCTAATAATGTTCACTAAGAGTCTTCGAAAGGAGAAGACGGGAACAGTGAGATACTACTGATGGGTTTTCAGTGGTACAGATCTTGAGCCAGGCTGGGCACATTGACAGAGACCCTCCCACTCCATAGCAGTTAAGGTGGTTCTATCTCTCTAACCCAGCTTAGGCTACACTGCTATATTGGTACTCCTTAGCTACATGTAGCTATTCAGATTTCAGTATAACTTAGAACTCAGTATTTCAAGTCACAACTAACTACATCTCAAGTGTCCAGTAGCCACATGTCTAATGGCTGCCATATTGAATATCTCAGATAAAGGACATTTTGCTGGATGTGGTGGTGTCCACCTCTAACCCCAGCATGTGGAGTCAGGAAGATCAGGACTTCAAGGCCATGTTTGGCTGCATGATATGTTCAAGGTTGGCCTGAGCTAAATGAGAACCTGTCTCAAAACACACAAAAAGATAAAAAGACAAAGAATATTTCCATCACCATAGAATGTTCTATTGGACAACACAGATTTGAGGAGGAGGATTCCCTGCTAGGCAGGTGAAGATGGGGGAATGAGGGCTAAGCTGGCTATAGTTAACCTCCTGTCAGACTAACCAAAGTTCATGGATACAAGTATACTTTTAGGTACTACATTTTGGGATTTAATGAATGTTTCCCTCATAACACTTTCTACATAATCTCAGAATGTGTGCTGTATACTAATAAGGTATGGGGTTTTAATTTTTTATTTTGTTCTATTTTTATTTTATGAGAATGAATGTTTTGCCTGCATATACATATATATGTACATGCAGTCATGACTGTTGTTTCAGTTTCTATTGCTGTGATAAAAAACACTGCCCAAAACTAATTTAGGGAGGAAATGGTTTATTTGACTTACAGCACAGTCCATCATCAAGGGAAGCCAAGGCAGGAGCCCAGGGCAGGAACCTGGAGCACAGACCATGGAGGTACCCCTGGCCTATGCTCAGCCTGCTTTCCTATACAACACAGGACCACCTGCCCAGGGGTGGCACCACCCACAGTGGGCTGGGCCTTCCCACATCACTCAACAATCAATAAAATGCCCCACAGACATGGCCATAGACCAACCCAAAAAAGACAACTGCCCAGTTGAGGCTCCCTCTACCTAGATGTGTCAAGTTGACAACTGAAGCTCTCTAGCACATGTGCAATGCCCTCAGAGGCCAGAAGAACATCAGATCTCTTGGAACTGGAGATATAGATGGTTGCTAATCACCAAGTGGGTGCTGAGAACCAAACCCATGCACTCTTCAAGAACAACCAGTGTTCTTAACCGCTGAGCCATCTCTCCAGCCCCTTGTGTATGTGTTTTCTACAAATCAGTGGGCTTCAGTACATTCACAAAGTGTAACTGTGGGGGCTAGAGAGATGGCTCAGCAGTTAAGAGCACTGACTGCTCTTGCAGAGGACCCGGGTTCAATTCCCAGAACCTATAAGGCGGCTAACAACTGTCTGTAACTCCAGTTCCAGGAGATCTGACACTTCTGACTCTGTGGGCACTGTATGACAAGGGTGCACTTGCACACATGCAAACAATACACGCTTACACATAAAATAAAAATAATATATATTTTTTAAAGTTGTATAACTGGGGGCTGGAGAGATGGTTCAGCAGTTAAGAACACTAGTTGTTCTTGTAGAAGACCCGGGTTTGAATGCCAACATCCATATGGCAGATAACAACTGTCCATAACTCCAGTTATAGGGGATCCAACAGTGTCTTCTGTTCTCTGTGGTCATTGCACGACTTGGGTGCACTTACCTACATGCAGGCAATACATGCATACACATAAAATAAATAAATAAATAAAACATTTTTTAGAAACAGTTGTGTAACTGTAACCATTCTCTATTTGCAGGGTATTTTCATTACTCCAAAAGCAGACCTGCTTTCCATTAGGCAGCTATTCCTCATTTCTCCATCTCCCACTAATAAGCTTTTTGTAATATCTCTACAGATTACCTATCCTAGATACTGAATAGAAATGGAATTATGCCTTATATGACTTTGGCTTCTGGCTTCTTTCCCTTAACATAATGGTCTTAGATTCTTCCATATCATATCACATATCAGCACTTCATTTGTTTTTATAGCTGAATATTCTACTACATTGGGCATATGACATTTTGTTTATCATCAATTGATGGGCACTGGGGTTTTTCCTTGTCAGCTATTATAAATAATGATGCTGTGAATATTTCTGTATATGTTTTTATGCAGACATATATTTTTAGTTTTCTTCATTATGTATCTATGGGTGGAATTACTGGGTTATATTATAACTCTGAACTTAACTTTTTGAGAAACTGCCAAACTGTTTTGCAAATCAACTGTACCATCTCACCTTGTGTACACACAATAAAGATACTGGTTTTTGCCTTTAACAGTGTCTGACATACAGAAACCACATATTTACAGTTTAATTGAATGGGTGGTCACTTTGATCTACATCATTATCCATCAAGCCAGGAACCAGAGAATTCCCTGTTGAATCCGAGGATAGAGATGTGGTCCTGGTTTCTTTGTACCACCTTATTAGCCTGTTGGCAGTTTTGAGTCTTGAGTGCCAAGTAGAAGTCAGGAAAGAAGAAATGTTAGAACTAAGTAAAGCAATTTTCTCCATGATACAGGGTGTAGAACCATGTGTAAGTATGTATAAGTCGCATCTGCCCATGACAGGACTCCATGGTCTTCATTCTTTCCCTTGTCATTTGTGGGCTGCTGTTGTTAGCATAATGCAACCAGGGTTGAGTAGTTTGACACATCATCTTGGGTCAGCCTCCATCTCTGGCAGAAACAAGCCTTTCTTCTTTGAAGTGGGCATATGAGCAATTCAAATGGAACTTCTGCTTCAGCAAAAGCCAGTCATGAAAAGTGAGCAACTAGAAGTACAAGTTATTGTGTTCACAAGCTTCTGAGGCTTAGAGAGGGATGCCCCTGAAGGATTTTCCTCACCTGGTCTCATCCTATCATACTCTTCATTCTAGTTAGGTGAGACTCAACATATGCTCAGTCCACTTTTCTAATGTAAAGCAGTGCCATTGTTTGCTTATTAATATAAACCAGAGAAAAGGGAGCTAACTTTCTCTTAGGGACTGTGGCTTGTCAAAGTACACAACTCTAAGCTTAACCTAGCATAGAAGCCAAGACTATTCAGAATAAGTCAAGCTGGGTGGTAACTTGGGTCTTTTAAGAACTTTTCTGTCCAGTCACATTTCTCACTCGAGGATTCTGCAAGCATAAGAGAACAGGAGGGGAAATGCCTTTAGGAAAATAGATGCATATTATGGGTTACTTATTACCCATTAATATAAACTACAGAAAATGGAGATACCTCTATGCATTGCCTATCTGGGTGTGTGGAGTAGATGATTTTAAGAGTGGCAGAACAGACATCCAGTGGCAGGAAAATTTACAGTGCTATTTTTTTTTGAAAGATTTAGAGCAGGTAGGTGGGAATGTTTGGAGGCCTAAAGGATTATGGAGGAGAGATAGATGATGGTCTAGGACAGTTATAATCCCCTGCCCTTGCCTTCTGTTCTAGCTTGTGCCTTTCCACAGGGGTGTGGGACATTGCTGGTGTCTTTCGGATTAAATTTCTTTGTACTCAGTGCTGTTGTGATTTGTCCATGCGACTCACAGCATTTGTAGACAGCTTTGTGGCAGCCCTTTCCTGTATTTCTGGATTAGTGCATATAAAGTTCTTGGAATAGTGCCTACCAAATAATAGGCACTGTGGAAATACTAAGTAGTTTTTATGTCTTGAATCAGCCTCATCTATCTAGCTAGGTATTAAGTTCCTTGTCAGGGAAGATCACCCCATCTTGCTCTCTTGCCGGAACCTCACAGAGCATTCTTAATTTGTTGATGTTACTGGGCTTTTGGACAACTAGCTTCCCTTTTATAAGCTCTGGTAGGGACTAAGTAGAGATTGTGTGTACACTCCATGTCTTAGTTTTCCACTGCTGTGATAAAACACTGACCAAAACCAACTTGGGGAGGAAAGGGTTTATTTCACCTGCAGCTTATAGTTCATCATGGAGGGAAGACAGGGCTGGAGCCCAGGGTGGAGTACTGCTTACTGTCTTGCTCCCCAGGCCCATACTCAGCCTTTCTTAAGCAACACCTGCCCAGGGATGGCACCGCCCACAGTGGGCTGAGCCCTCCCACATCACTCAATAGTCAAGAAAATACCCCACAGATATGGTCACAGGCCTTTTCAATGAGGAATTTCCATCAACTGAGGTTCCCTCTACCCATGTGCGTCAAGTTGACAACTGAAGCTCTCCAATACAGTCACACTGTTTGGTACCTACCCTTTACAGGCGTCTGTTCTGAGCCCTACGCCTATTGTAAGAAGTATGGAAAAATAAATGTGAAGTCAAAGCATCTTGCAAGAACAAGGTCAGAGGAGCCCAGATTCTTGCCAAGTGGGTCTCAACCGGTTACCAGGTGCCTGCAGGGGGAGTAGGTGGAACCCAATGGGGGTCCTAGTCCCCGTCATTCCTGCTTCACTCTAAGCCACACTCTCCGCTCCGCCAGCTTCTGACACGGCCATCCAGAGGGATGCAGAGGGGACCAGATCCGGGTTTCACTGTCCCGTAGGGGCCTGGGGTGCTGTGCGGGCTGAAGCCAGGGCGCCCAGGCTCCGGGAGCAGCTCCCCGCGCAGCCCCGCCCCACCGCCCAGGCTCCCAGTCGTCCAATCAGCGCGCGGCTCTCGCTGGCGCCCGGGCCAATCCGCAGCGGCGGGAGAGGCGCCAGGACCGGCGGGCACCCAGAGAGCGGTGGAGTTGCGAGCCGGCAGCGGCGGAGCAGCCACCCAGAGGGAGCTCGTCGAGAGCGGCGCAGAGACGGGGACGGGGACCCGCGCCAGGCGAGCCGGGGTGCTGCGCGGCCTTCCCGCCGACGCCCGGGACCGGCGGACCGATGCGCAGGTGAGTGCGGCCCCAGCGGAGCGCGCGGGGCCGGGGGCCGCAGGTGGACCCGGAGTCGCTGACCGCGAGGTCCTAGCGCCGTGCGTACCCAAGCGCCCGCCGGAGCCGCGCGCTGCGCTGCTCCACCGAGCCCCCGCCGCTGACGCCCCGAGTGCAAGGACGCGGCGAGGCGGCCTCCGTGGGTGCCGCTGGGGACAGCCTCTCGGCCCCCGCACCCAGCACAGCACTTCTTGCCAGCCGGTTCCTACCCCTCGAGATCCAGGTCGTCCAGGGCGTCTTCGCTGTCCTGAGTGGGGAGGCGACAACAGGTGTCCCTGGAGATGCTGCCTCGCCCCACCTCGCGTCGAAATCCCGGCTTTGGCATTGCGCCCCTACCTCGGGGTGCTCAAAGACAGGACCCCTCAGCCTGGCCTCGCAGGCGCTCTGCCCGCTGGACAGCGCCCGGGGGCCACCGGGACCCCGAGCTTTGGCTGGAGTTTCCTGAGCGCGTTGCCAAGCAATTTGTTGGACACCGCCTCTCCCTGGGAAGAGTTGAAGATGGGGCTGGCTGTGAGAGAGGGGGGGGAGGGGGAGAGAGAGAGAGAGACAGAGAGAGAGAGAATGTGTGTGTGTGTGCGCGCGTGTGCCTGTTCCTATGCCTGTGCCTGTGTTTGTGTCTGTGTTGTGCGGATACAATTTCTCTCTTGCTGGGATGAAGAGTTGAAGATAGGGCTGTGTGTGTGTCTGTCTGCCTATGTGTCTGTGTTGTGTGTATACAGTTTGCCTCTCGGTGGGATGAATAGTTGAAGATAGGGCTGTGTGTGTGTGTGCCTGTCTGTCTGTGTGTCTGTTGTGTGTATACAGTTTGCCTCTCGCTGGGATGAGTAGTTGAAGATGGGGCTGTGTGTGTGTGTGTGTGTGTGTGTGTGTGTGTGTATGTTGTATGTGTGTATACAGTTTGCCTCTCGCTGGGATGAATAGTTGAAGGTGGGGCTCTGTGTGTGTGTGTGTGTGTGTGTGTGTGTGTGTGTCTGTCTGTCTGTCTGTGTTGTGTGTATACAATTTGCCTCTCGCTGGGATGAAGAGTTGAAGATGGGTCTCTTTGTGTGTGTGTGTCTGTCTGTCTGTATCTGTGTTTGTGTGTGTGTGTCTGTATCTCTATGTGTGTGTGTGTGTATGTTGTGTGTGTGTATACAATTTGCCTCTTGCTGGGATGAAGAGTTGAAGATGGGGCTCTCTGTGTGTCTGTCTGTCTGCTTGTGTCTGTCTGTGTGTGTTGTATATGTGTATACAGTCTGCCTCTCACTGGGATGAAGAGTTGAAGATGGGGCTCTCTGTGTGTCTACCTGTGTCTGTCTGTCTGTGTGTGTTGTATATGTGTATACAGTCTGCCTCTCACTGGAATGAAGAGTTGAAGGTGGGACTCGTGTGTGTGTGTGTGTGTGTGTGTGTGTGTGTGTGTGTGTGCGCGCGTTTTGCAGCCTCTGCTAAGAGGAGCTGCCTGAGGCCTGTGAGTGAATCATTAACTAAGGTCTTATGCAGCTACTGCCCCTTCCTGCCTTTCCCTCTCTCCCTCTCTCTCTTTTCTTCATCTCCTTCATGATTCCTGTGCCTGCCTCACTCTCCTAATCTATAAAGTGATGGTACCAATTTCACTCATTGTTTTGAAGATTATATGAGCCAATGTCTGAAAAACATCGAGCATAGCACCAACCATTCAGTAACTGCTGGCTCTTACTATTTATTATGAAGTGGGTGATTGTTTAAAGAGTAAATCAGACGTGTCCAAACTGGCCTCACAGTCATTTGGAGCACTCAGCAGCTTTCTACACTTGAAGGAGAAAAATGCTATTAATATTACTGATGGTATCATTTAAAGGGGAGAGAATGAAGCAGATAAATGAACATGAATTAGTAATCAAAGCTTTGTAACCCTGTGAATGTTTTGTGAGGATATCTCAGTGCTTTCTTGAAGTCTCTGTTTTTATTTGTATGGTTGATTGGGGTGGTGGAGGAATATGTGTAGGGTTTTGTGCTTTCTAATCTTTTTTTTTTAAAGGAAAGAGGGAGGGAGAGAGGGAGAGAGGGAGAGAGGGAGAGGGAGAGAGAGATCTTAACCTCACAATAAAATGTCAGCGGCTCATGGAAACCTGAAATTTGTGTTTGCTACTTCTAGGCAGTTGATCCCATGTCTGACCTGGGTGGCCTAGTTCAATCTTTAGCCATTATATTGTTTTTCTTTCCTTGCTTAAGAACCAAAATTTGACCACATATTTTTTTAGACCTGAGATATCATTTGTAGCTGACTTGCTTGGAGTTGTGAGCCCTCTTCTCCTGTCTCCCCCTCAGAACAGACTCCAAAGACCTTCTGTGTGTTCTCAATGGGAATCTGCCTGTCTTGTGACATCAGCCTACCACTGCAGCCTGGACCCATGAGAGGAAAGGTCAGACAAGCTGTCCGTGTTCTTCTGGGGTTACTGTGCCTTGTACAGGTGCCTTAGGAAAAGCACACTGACAGAGAAAGTGGGCTTCTCTGTGTCAGAAATACATTTCTAGTTGCAAGTCTTGCAAGTGTCAGATTAGTGGATTAGTGTGTCCGTCCTTTTGGTTGTTGTTCTGGGCTTTTCCTTTCCAGTTCAGTGGGAGGATCTGAAAGCTTGCCACTGAGAAGGATAGAGGTATGTGACACAAGGCAGATTGCTGAGTTCAAAGCCAGACTCCCATCTGGTTGAGCGCTTGAGCTCTTAGTCTCCTTACCAATGACAATGATGATGATGATGGTGATGATGGTGATGGTGATAATGGTGATGATTTTATTATAATAGGGAAAAAACAGTATGCTAAAAATAATATTAGTGGATGAAAAGCACCTACCACAGTTCCTGGGACACAGTTACAGCTCTTCAGCATCCAGAGGAAGTCCTAAAAGTGATAGTCATTATTTAGAGATAAAGGCCAAATTGGGGGTTGGCAGGAGCGGAATACAGAGTGAAGAGCAAGTCTCTTGTGCAGCTGAGGGTGAGGTGGGGTTGGAAGGAAGGTAGAGCAGAGGGCAGAGGATATTGCAAGCAAGGAGGCAAGATCACATGGGTCACCATTGTCAGCTTAGGTTAAATAACAAGTCACCCCAAGTCCCAGTGCTCTGCAGTCGCTCAGGTTTCTTGCTCACTGACACTGTTTGTCCAGGTGGGTCCTCTTGTGTCTTTATTTGAGGTCTCACTGAGCTTTAAAAAAACACCACCAGACTCTTCCAAGGATAATACTGACCTCATTTGTGTAGGGAGAAGGAGATAAGAGGAAACTGACACTATCACACTTGAGGTCTGCTGGGAGGTGAGTGGCAGCTGTCCCTGCTGTTCTTAGCCCATTGGCCAGGGTCAGTCACATGGCCAAACATGGTGTCAGAGAAATAGGAAAGCAGAAGCTTCCTGCAGATAGGAAGATATGGTTAAGTGGATGGTGTGTGTGTGTGTACAGGAGGGAACAAGGTCAGGGAAGTTGCCCAGAGGCAGATAATAAAGGATCTTGAATTGGGGGTAGGAGTTTGGGATTGTGTCTTATAGACACAATAGCCACTGAAGTGGGTATAGCCACTGAAGGTGTGTGTGTGTGTGTGTGTGTGTGTGTGTGTGTGTGTATGTGTTGTATGTGTATGTGGTAGGAGGTACACAAACCCATGCGTACACATATAGCTCAGAGGAGAACATCAGGTGTCCTATTCTGTTTCTGTCCTCCTCATTTTCTTGAGATAGTGTCTCTCACTGAACCTGGAGCTAGGCTGGTGGTCAGCAAGTCCCAGAGCATCTCCTGCCTCTGCCACTCACACCGCTGAGGTTATAGGTTCATGAGGCTTTTTATATGAGTGCTGGGCATTTGAATTCAGGACCACACACTTGCTACCTTCTGAGCTGTTTCCCCAGAACGCACTGAAAGATTTTAAGTTGGGGTTTAACAAGGTCAGATTTTCAGAACAAATATGGATCTCAAGTAGTAGTGTGGAGAGAAGCTTGAAACAGATGAGATTAAAGGCAAGAGATCATGAGGGCCTACGCAAACACAGCAGCCCCAGTCCCTTAACATAAGTCTTGAAATCCAGGACTAGAACATTCTCCATTTGACACTTCTGTGGCTTGTCTCTTTTACAAGTCCTCCCATAATATACACGCTCTCTCATCTTGACATCCTTATCTTGTCATATTTAAAACAGTGGTTCTCAAACTGTAGCTTGCATCAGAATCACCTGGAGGGCTTGAATCAACATAGATTGCTGTCTCCACTCCTAGCACCACCCTGGAGTTTCTGAATCAGTCAGTCTGGGGTGGGGCCTGAGAGCTTTTCTGTCCAATGCTCTGAAGATGCTTATGCCGCTGTCCAGAAGCCTCCCGTTGAAAAGAAGAAATTAAGATGCATTTACTGGAAACACCTGAAACAGGGGGAGTTATGGAACATTCTAGTACTCCTCAACAGTTTTGCTGTAGGTTGGCCCAGCCCATGAGTAGTAGAGTCTGTAGGAGTCACTAAACCTCCAGGTTCTATGGATTGGTTGCTTGGTTGATTTTTTTTTTTAAAGATTCTATTTATTTTTATTTTATGTGTATGAATGTTTTGCCTGCATGTATGTAAGTGCACCATGTGCATGCAGTGCCTGTAGAGGCCAGTAGACAGCATCAGATCCCCAGGAGCTGGGGTTATTGATGGTTGTTAGCCACCATATGGGTGCTGGGAACTGAACCCAGGTCCTCTGCAAGAGTAGTCACTGCTCTTAACCGGTGAGCCATCTTTCCTGCCCTGACTTTTGTGTGTATGTGTCTTCTTGGGACATGGTCTTCTGTAGCCACAGCCTGCCTAGAACTCACTATACAGACCAGGCTGGCCTTGATCTCACTCAGATCCACCTGCCTCTGCCTCCCAAGTGCTGGGACTAATAGTATGTTCCCATGCAGAGCTCCCTTCCTTCTGCCATGTGTAGATATGGTAAAAATATGGCCGGCAGGAAATCAGAAAGTCAACCCTCGATGGAC